GCTATATCAAGGTGGTACTTCCCTAAACCCCCTCATTTCCTTCTTACCACCTGTGGCTTGAGTTGGAGCTCCCTGCGTTGGAATCTCCTCATGATTTCCCTGCTGCATCACACTTTGTGATTCGGTGTTTCCTAGTGTAAATAGTTTCTGGCAGTTAGCACCCATAGTTTGTTAGATTAGTTAGTTTATTAGTATATTTAATGGTACAGTTAGTTTGTATAGTTCTGGAGCATTCCCCGGGCTTCGGGCATTGCCTGTCCCTACTTGTTGTGCCTCGGTGAGACCCAAATCAAGGAATAGTGGAGTATCTATTGTTCTGTTACAAAAACGATGCAGACTGCAAGAGATCTTCATCTAAAGCAGCAGTTGTTGGAACAGGCTGTGAGACCTGCCTTGGCACGAGGACCCTGTTCCAACCACTCAGTTAACTGGTATCCTCTACCTCTGTGGGAGTTGGGGACAGACCCCAGGACTCTGATCAGTCATGGAGGCAGGAAAGAGGTCCGAGATCATTCCACAGATCCCATGTAAGAGGACTCATAAAATGGACCAGAGTGCCAGAAATCGAGGAGGGATTTATTCTCCTCTTCATCGAGAGCAGGACCTCACTGTCAACAAGTCTGGTACCCAGGACAGACCCGTGTCTGCCCAGCATCAGGATGGGAGAATCCCAATGCCGTGCCAGCGACTCCAGAACCATCCATGGGACTGTGTCAAGTCTGGTCTCTACGGAAACTCCAGCACCATCACTCTGTGTCATCGACCTGGCAAGGTTCCTGGCAGCTTCAGACTTGCTTTGTCTAGCTGTCGTGGCATTCCCACTAACTCAAGATATTGGTGAAGGGGCGGTGCCCCAGGCTATCTCAGGCCCTTCATTGACTTCAGCTTTGGGGCAGAGATTGCCTTCAGCTCCAGTACCAATGAAGAGGCAGGCTCCACCCGCTCTCTCTCAGCATCGTTTACAAAACCAGCCTTGGTACCAGTGTCCTCAGTATCAGTAGCTACATCAGAGTGGGGTCTGAATCCTGACCCCTCAGCACCAATAAGGAATCCATCCTCTGTACCGGACCCCAGGCAAGACTGTCTACGATGCCAACCAGAGTATCAATGTTACCTTTTCCATGTTGTACAGTGGACAAGTCAGGTTTTCCAGAGGCCCTACCAATTGGGCACCCATCACACCTAGTGATTATTCTACAGCTCTTCTCACTCCAGGTCAGTGTCCTGCAACTCTTCTCATTCCCCTCGTCAGCAAATGAGATCACATACATCATCCAAACACCCAGGGAGTAAGCACTGGTACTGAAAGCAGAGACATTTCTATAGTGGAGACAGACCTGCCTGGCCCACAATGTACTGGCCTTCTTGCTGTACGCTTGGCTGATATTCCCAGCCTAGGGGTGCTTCTCATTCACACAGATCCAGTTCTCTGCATACGTTGGATGTAAGATCCCCTTACCTGGGGAACGGCCCAAGCCATGGACCAGCCTGTTGTGGAAGTTCAGGACTACATTCTTCCTCTGTGGTTAACCTTTTGCCTGAGAACCAACCCGTACCACAGGTGACACCTTCAGCTCCATCAGCACTGTCAACACTCTCCTTGGACGATTTGGTGGCCTTGACTTTGGCTTCCCCAGAGGATTTCAAGTTCTACCAGGAACGGCTCAGGAGAATGGCTGCAGTTCTGGGCATTTAAGCTGAGCTGGTACAGGAGAATACCCACAAATAGGTAGACATCCTCCAGACTTCAGCCCTGGGAGGTGTTGCCCCCTCTGTCAATGATGCTGTAAGGGACCCAGGGTGTAGGTGGTCTTGCCTCTAACAGTCACAGCTGGGCTGAGGTCTGCCCACCAGAGATAGGAGTCTTCGACCAGGAGTTGGAGGAATTGCAAGGCCAAGTCCCATAACTAGCATCAGGGGCAGTACCCGGTTAGAACCAAGAGGCCGGAGTCTGGGTCAGAGTAGGCTGGGGTCAGAGACCAGAGGCAGTACCGGGATAGAACCGAGAGGCAGGAATTGGGGTCAGAGACCGGAGACCAGAGGCAGTATTGGGTTAGAACTGAGAGGCAGGAATCGGGGTCAGAGGCAGGCGGGGTCAGAGACCGGAGACCAGAGGCAGTACCGGGATAGAACCGAGAGGCAGGAGTCGGGGTCAGAGGCAGGCGAGGTCAGAGACCGAAGATCAGAGGCAGTACCGGGATAGAACCGAGAGGCAGGAATCGGGGTCAGAGGCAGGCGGGGTCAGAAACCGGAGACCAGAGGCAGTACTGGGATAGAATCAGGAGTCAGGGTTGAAGTCAGGCTGTCCTCAGAGACCGGAGATCAGGAAACAAGGCAAAGTCTGGTGTTGCAGCAGGGCAAAATCTGTGTACTTACCCAGACACCTTCCTGGGGCAACCCCTGGGATTAAATTGGGGCACTTGGCCAATCAGAGAGCCATGAGGAATGTCACTCTGGGTCTCGTGAGCAGTACTTCCTGTGGCCCCAGTCTCCCCAGTGTTTCCTGGCTGTGCCTCTGGATGGCTTCCTGGCATGTTGGGACTATCAGCCACCCCAGGCTCTGGAGGCCTAGGTTCTAGTCCCCAGGTCCTCACATAGGCCCTCTTATCGACAGCCAAATCTTTGTAGCACACGTCAGCATCGCTAACCCCAATAGCCAAGCAAACAGAAAAACGATATCACTCCCTTCCCAGAAGCAGGAGTGTGTCTATTCACTCCAAAACCAAACTCATTAATTGTCACGGCACCTAATGAGAGGACACCACAAGGAAGATTTAATTCTACCCCAAAAGAAAAAGAACCTAAAAGACTGGACGCATTGGGAAGAAAATGTGTTCTACTGCTTCACTCCAGGTGAGAATAATGACCAGCAAGCTCTTTTAGTGAGCAGTGATGTCTAAATTCATGGACAAATTGCCAGACAACTCCAGAGAGAAGTTCAAAGCTTTCTTGACAAAGCGCTTGCTTGTGTCAAAGACCTCGCTACAATCTACTCTCAACATGATGTCTGATTCTTCCAGAGCAATGACCACTGCCATCATCAAGAGGAGGACATCTTCGTTATTTAATTCCAGGATAGCACCAGATATCCAGAAAACCACTGAAATTCTGTCTTTTGATGGACAGTTTGTATTTTCTGACAAGACAAATGAGGTGTTTATCTTTTAAAGTTTCATGAGTGACTCTCCGCTCCCCAGGAGTTTATCTTCCAGCCTCCAAGAAGCGTTAGTACAAGCCCCTGCAGAAATATTCAGATTATGTTCATGGACAGCCCTTTAAATTAAATTAAATTTTTTTTAAATTAATGGAGATATCCCATCTCTTAGAACTGGAAGGGACCTTGAAAGGTCATTGAGTCCAGCCCCCTGCCTTCACTAGCAGGACCAAGTACTGATTTTGCCTCAGATCCCTAAGTGGCCCCCTCAAGGATTGAGCTCACAACCCTGGGTTAGATGCTCAAACCACTGAGCTATCCCTCCCCCACCCCTTCTGTCCTCCCAGATGATACTACGCTTCTTGGAGGAGAGAGGAGCTTCAGAAAAGAAGGTCATCCAACATTACCAGTAACCCACCGTGCTCTCAGCTTTCGGTAGGGACACAACTCTTGGAACTTGTTTTTCGAGGACAGCATAGCAACCAACAATGATCTACACATCCCTGCTCAGTGTGGAGACAGATTATCCCACTTCCTCAGCCCATGGGAACAAATATCTCTAGACAAGTGGGTCCTAAGTACTATGGGCCTGGGATATTCAGTCCCATTCATTTCCCCCCCTCCTCCCTACCCTCCTCCTCTGTCCCTTTTCAGGGACCCATCTCATGAGTCTGTGCTCCTTCAGGAGGATCAGGCTCTCCTCGCCCTGGGGCACAGAGTAAGTTTCCCCACTCTTTTCCCTGATCCCCAAACACAAGAGTGGAACTGAGACTGTTCTGGACCTCTGGGCTCTCAACAAGTTCATCGAGCAAGTGAGATTGCGCCTGGTTACCCTAGCTTCAATCCTCCATTCTCTAGATGGCAATGGTTGGTTGGCTGCCCTTGATCTTCTGGACACATATTTCCATATAGCTGTGTTACTCAGCCTCAGGAAATTCCTCAGACTTGTCATCATCAGTACATGGTACTCCCCTTCGGCCTGTCATCACCAAATGCGTGGTGGCCTTCTCGAGGAGGAACGGGATACAGGTCTTCCCTTACCTCGATGGTTGGCCGGTCCAGGGGTTCTCTCACAGGCAGGTCCATTGCCATCCATTGACTATATCATCCACCTGTTCAATCACCTTCATCTTATCCTGAACAGAGAAAAGTCTGCACTGATTCCTGCCCAGAGACTCGAGTTTGTTGGAGCGCTATTGAGCGTGGTCAGGGTGGAACCACCTTAATATAGCCTCAGGAAGGGCCATGAGGAAGTATAAGGCGTTTGCACTGACTCAATGGGTGGCAAAAAGTCTCCAGCTCACAGTGCACAAGGCAGTGCATACCTGAGCAGAATACACATCTGCACCCACATCTCGAAGAACAACTGTTACACAACAGGTAAGTCACCATTTTTTATCTGTGTTTGACCCATTCCCCATTGTCCCATTGTTTGGGTTATATAGCTCTTAGTCTCTTTGAAGGCTCAAATATGGCTGCCCAGGTGCACAAGAGGACCAGTGGTCTTTATGTATCAAGCTACATGGGGCCAGGCCCAGTCCTATTGGCGAGTGCAGGCACTGCCCCCTGTAGGGTGAACGTGAAAATGGGAGTCATTAAACCAGTCGGTAGAAGGCACATACACTCTGCCAGTTGAAAGGATGGTGCAGTTGCCATTACAGCATGAAAGAATTCCAGCTTAGTCGGTCTAATGTACTCCTGAGGTCTCCCACTCCAGTACTGCCCCTTCCCTCTTTCCAGTGTGAGTCTCAAAAGCCAGCCTGGCTCTTAGCGAGCTCCTGTAGAAAAACGCTTTCTAGCGACTCGTTTCCATGCTTGTTTGTCTGACATTTGTTTGTTTTTCAAGCAGAGGAAGTAGGTGAAGAAGAAGAGGAAAAGATGCAGAATGGAAAGGACAGAGGTAAAAGACTCTCTCAGCTGTAAAACACTTTTCCCATTTATTTCTGTGCCTGAGATTAGAGTGTGTCTGCAAACTCTCCACAGCAGTGTACCAAGCACTGCAGAAGCATTCATGTAACAGCTTTGGGTTTGGGCAGTTTATGGAGGCTTCTTGTTGCTGTTAGACCTCCTCCAGACACACAGCTGGGCCTATCAGGCTTGTCTTTCTGTTCCTCTCGCTGCCCTGTTATATGTTTGCTCTCTCCATTTCTGCCGTTGCTTGGGACAGTAGTAATGTCCAGGGTTCCATTGTCTCTGTATTCAGATGTATTGAAATATTTTCCTTCAGCAAGTGGCCATGTACAAGTGTAAGCATGGCAGGAAAGGAGTTACTCTGAATGGTACAAGAGGAACAAGAATTAATGGTGTGAGGTTAGATAAAGAAAATGAAGGCTGAATTATCAGGAAAGTTTCTGGAAATTGGGTGTGCGAGGCTGTGGACGTGTCACCCAAGGGAAGCAGGAAGCCTTGTTGGTTGAGGCATTTAAAATGTGTCTGGACACCGTGTTCAGCAATATTCTGCTGAGACCAGTCCTGCGCAGGCAGCAAAATGGGGCCTTACAGCAGGTCTCATCCCATCTCTAATCCCTGATTCCAAGTGTAGATAATAGAACTAATTCTCCCCAGGCAGCTCTGTCTCTGGCTTATAAGGATGTGGAAGGAACGTGGGGCTGTCACAGCATTGTTGTGCAGGTGGACTAATGATCCCCTATCAGGGCCGGCTCCAGGCACCAGCTTGTCAAGCAGTTGCTTGGGGCGGCCACTCCGGAGAGGGGCGGCACGTCCAGGTATTCGGCGGCAATTCGGCGGACAGTCCCTCACTCCGCCTCGGAGCAAAGGACCTCCCGCCGAATTGCCGCCGCAGATCACGATCGTGGCTTTTTTTTTTTGGCTGCTTGGGGCGGCCAAAACCCTGGAGCCGGCCCTGTCCCCTATCCAAAAGGGCTCAGGAGAAAGAAAACCCAGGTGAGCGGTGTGTGGAGTGGAATACCAGTCACTGGACACTGGGTTTGGCGGTTTCACCTGTCCCTTCCTCAAATGACTGAACAGAAAACCCCTTCTCTTGGTGTGACCAGGGGTGCTTGGGTGAAGGTATTTGCCACCACCTCTTCTTCCCGCTTTGCCAGGAAAGGAATTTACAGTAATTGCACTGAGGTGCTTCAATTCGGGCTGTGCCCCTTAGTGTGACACTGATTTGCTTGTGGAGCTGTTTGCTCGCACTTTCCACGTTTAAATTAAGGATGGACAAAGAGATTTGGATTAGACAAGTATCAGTCCAAACATTTCATGTCTCACCTGAGACAAATCTTTGCTGAGCTTTGACAGCGTTGGATTTTTATTCTTTATTGTTCCATGCACCTCTTCACTTCCTGCTTCTAGTGGGATGAAATTTCACACACGAGACTGTTCTCACAAGATTTCCAGCCCAAATAGGTACTGAGAAGGTGTGACCCTTTCTCAGGGCACCCAGGATTGTGAGTCATCTTGTTACCTCCCTGCTCTAGCGGGAGGGAGTTTTTCTTGTGGTAGCTGGGTGTCAGCTCTTGTACGGCACCAGCCTTTCAACCATTCAGACACTGTCCTCAGGACTCTGTCAGGCCTATCTTGCTTTGCAGGCTACCTTAGATGCACCCAAATCCCTGCACTTCTTTTGAAGAGCATTCCCCTGTAGCATCCAGCCCCGTCACTGGACACTCACAGAAATTACCAGGTAAGCTGCCTCCCAAAGAGATATACACAGCTGGAAGGTTATGATTCAGGTTTCACACTTTATGTCAACACAGCACTGTAATCTATGTATAGTAAAAACAAATATATTTATCAACAGAGAACAGAGAGTTACAGATTCAAGTTAGTATTGCGTAAGAATAATGGAAACAGAAATAGTTAGAAACAAATCAGAAGTGTAACACTCATTCTAGAGACTAAGGGCTTGTCTGCCCTTAACACGCTGCACCGGCACCGCTGCACTGCTGTAGCATTTCCGTGTAGACACTACCTATGCCAATGGGAAGGGTTCTCCCATGGGCGTAGGTAATCCATCTCCCTGAGAGGCAGTAGCTAGATCGACAGAAGAACCCTGCACGGGGTCTCAGGTCAACTTAATTGCACTAATCAGGGGTGTGGATTTTTCACATCCCTGACCAATTTAATTAAACAGACCTAATTTGCTAGTGTAGACCAGGCCTAAGACTTAACCCTTGTCTAACGCAGTTTCTCACCCTCAAAGTCTCTCCGCAGAGTTTACTGGTTTTCATTGAATCCAGGATCCATTCCTTCCCGTACCATCCTCCTCTGCCAAGGGTGTCCTCAGTGAAATGGATGATGGTGTCCTTTATCTTTTCCTTATATTTCCGAAAGTCCATTCTCCTTGTTCCCAGAGTCAGGATAACTGCCTGGGGTTCATACTCTGGGGTGCTCACCTGTTGAGTTCGCATCCCTCATCAACCTGCTTTTCCTGTTGACTTTATATATAAATGGGGCTTCCTTTGTGTCGTCCTTACAATGCTTAATTTACCTCAGAGACAGGGATAGCCGAAGAGACATGCTTTTATCTGGCAGAAGACCAGTTCGTTCATTCTGCCTTGTTACTGACTTTAAAGCATAATTTTTATACAAATGCACAGATGATTCCTTATATAGTATCAGTATATACATTTCACAGTGATATTATAAGCACTGTGTTATTGGCTTTCGTTTGATACCTCACAAGACACTTTTTGGGTAAATACTATGAAAGCAGTGTGTCAGGTGTAGTGAGTTTGTCAGGCCTGATAGTCGTTACTGTTACAGAATAGTGAACCCTTTGCCAGTTGGTATTGTGGGGGTTTTAGGGAGCAGCCAGATGTTTGGGGCTTCTCTGACTCCTCTGAGGTTTACCCATCACTAGTTGAAATGATAGGCTTGTTTGGGCTTTTGGGTTTTCTTTTACTAGCAATAATAGGTCTGATTTCAGTGAAATCAACAGTTTTTGAAGGTAATATCATGTTGGCTTTAAATCATACAAGGCTCTTATCCCTGGAATCTTCCTCCTTCATTAGATATTTTGGATGCTTAGCAGATGTTCACTCTCTTTTTCCAAATGTGTAATGTACCTTGCATGGAAAATAGGGGGAAGAGAGGGAGGTTGAAGATTCTTATGAGTCATCACTGAACAGTAAGAAGTAGTTGTTCGAGTGCACAGCATTTCAATCTAACCAGCAGTAATCTGTTTCATTTACCCTACACTCTTTCATATTTCTTAATCAGTGCATGTATTTCTAGCATGCCAATTACTGTAGTATCTTCTAGGTACCATTTCCGCCTATGCCTTCTGTTCACAGTGAACTCTTGGCTAATGTTTGAATTGACATTGCCAATACATAATTCCCAGTCCTTCACAACTTGCTGGGCTACTATTAGAGAGACAGGGTCAATGAGGTAATATCTTTTATTGGACCAACTTCTGTTGGTGAGAGAGACAAGCTTTTGAGCCACACAGAGCTCTTCTTCTGGTCTGGGGAAGGAGCTCCCAGCATCACAGCAAAATGCAAGGTGGAACAGATTGTTTAACGTTAAGTGATTAGCACCTATTGTAAGAAACCGTTCAAGCTAGAGTCATAGAAGAAAAAGAGGGGGTTGGTGGGTTACAGATTGTTGTAATAGGCCATCTATCCAGTGTCTCTGTTCTGTCCATGATTTTTAGTGTCCAGCAGAGTAATGAATTTAAGCTCCCAGGCTTGTCTTTTGAGAGTGTTGTGCAAGTTTTTGAGGATGAGGCCTGAGAGGTCAGATATAGAGTGATCACTTTGTGAAAAGTGTTTGCCCACAGGGGATAGGGTGGTTTTGTCTTTTATCATTTTCCCGTGTGAGTTCATTTGAGAGCAGAGTGATTGTCTGGTTTCACCCACATAGTTCTTATTGAGGGATTTAGTGCACTGGATGAGGTATACCACATGTTGTGACAGGCATGTGTAGGATCCATGGATTTTGAAAGGTATGTAGTGTGGGGGGCTGATCACTGTAGAACTGGAGATATATCTGCAGGTTTTGCATCTGTTGTTCTGACAGGGTCTGGTGTCACTTTGAATTGGTGTCCTGGTCTGTGGGGAGTTTGTTTCTGATGATGAGCTTGGAGGGGCTGGGGGCTTGTTTAAAGGACAGAAGTGGGGGTTCAGGAAAGTTTTCTTTCAGGATGGGGTCCCCGTTGCGTATGGGTTGTAGTTGTTTGATGATACCGCGTCTGGGCTCCAGTGTGGGGTGGCAGATGACCACCGATAGTGTGAAGTCAGAGGGGGTTTAGGGGTTGTCCACTGTCTTGCAGAGTTTTGAGGCAGGCAGCTATGCCGTCATTGTGAGCGACATTGGTGTATTGGGAAGTGACATCCATGGTGGTAAGGATGGTGTTCTGAGGGAGGCTGTTAATGTTGCAGAGTTTGTAAAGGAAGTCAGTTGTGTCCTGGAGGAAACTGGCCCTTTGTGTGGTGAGTGGTTTGAGGATGGTTTCTATGAGTCCTGATATTCTTCAGTCAGAGTGCCGTGGCCAGATACGATGGGTCTGCCGGGACTCCCTGGCTTGTGTATGTTGGGAGCATGTCGAAGGTTCCTGGATGGGTTTGTGGGGGATGGGTTTGTAGAGTTTCTCTTGGAGTTATTTGGGGGAAGGATTTGATGACATCAGTAAGTTCCTGGGTAAATTGTGGTGTGGGGTCTTCTCTGAGTTCTTCATAGTAGGCTGTGTTGGAGAGCTGTGGGTTGGCCTTGTTAATGTAGTGACCACGATTGAGAACTGGTGGAACCCCCTTTGTCTGCTGCTTTGATCACTGTCCAATGGTTAGATTTCAGGGACTGCATGGCTGTCCTCTCAGCAGTGGAGAGATTATGGCGGATGCGATGTTTGTTAAGGATTTCGCAGTCAAAGGAAACCTGCACAACACTTTCAAAAGATGAACCTGGCAACTTAAATTCATTACTCTGCTAGAC